AAAATAATTATTCACCACATTTATGTCAAATAGGTATACTAGGTATACTAATTAATTAAGTATTAAAGATTTAATAATATAACCGCCATTTTGATGAGCTTTCTGAAATTATTTAAACGTCTGACAACACTGCCGGCGAACACAGAAGATAAAGAAGCGTCCTTTTTCTATGGTAGCGTCGGTTAAATATGATTCATTCCACCCTGCGACAGATTGTTATATGTTTGTCATAAAGTTTATTGTTTTGTGATTATTTGTTTGAGGTCTCTAGTGGTAAGTAAATATGTGTTTATTTTAATTAAAACCATAAAACATTTTATTATTGTGAATATCTTTGGGGTCGAGGGTAACAAATGGCATTTTTTACACTTTCCGCATAGCTCGGTAAGCTAATCGACTCTTTTGGGCCGTTGTATGGTTGGATAAAACCTACCACTGAGTGTGTCTCGTGTGCATACATTTGCACCGCCGCACAGTGAGGCCACGTCTTTTTATAGACGGTAGATGTCACCATATTACCTTGCCGCTGCATCTCGCCGCTGTCCAGGTCGCCCAACTAGTATATAGGTGGGCGGTTGCTTGACTTGAAGCGTGTCTCTCGGCACAACAGGTCGAAACAGTCTGTCTGTCAGGGTTGGTGGGCATGGTACATTAGTCATTGTGCCATGTCAACCCGAGAGATGCGTTTCGGGCCAGGCACGGTGGAGAGATGTGTCGGCTTGTGTAATATTTGTCATTTTGGTTGCCTAACTACTGCAGTAGTTAGGCAACGCCATGGCGTAGTAGTAAAACCTTGGCATTTTTTAACAAATGGGCTGATGGATTGGCCAAATTTTGGGGATCATAAGGAGACAGGTGAAATAGGCCCTAAATGATTAGGCTGATAAAAAGGCAAATGACAGCTGGAGGAGTGATGGCAAGCACTTCTTTAGTTATATGTAGTTTTCTGTTCTATTTTATGTTTTCATAAAAATAAATATTTAAATTAAAGAATAAGACTTTTATTTTAAAACCCAATGTTATTTATTGAAAAGTAAATATCCATTGATTCACCATATCCAATACAGATGACAACCATATTGCATACAATACTATATCCACTGGGTATCCATTGGATATCCACACCATGTCCAGGAGGGTCGGACATTTATATATCCAATGGTTATCCATTGGATATCCATACAATCTCCATATTGAATACAGATTACAACCTTATTGCATACAATACTATATCCACTGGGTATCCATTGGATATCCACACTATGTCCAGGAGGGTCGGACATTTATATATCCAATGGTTATCCATTGGATATCCCGGATATCCTATGTATATCCTGGATATCCATAAAAGAAATCCATTGGATATCCATTGGATGTAATTGTTCCGTGTGGGTAGAACCGCATCTGTTATTAGAAGCGATTCGAACTGCAACTAGAGAGTGAGTTAAGTACGGTAGTTGGCTGTGTGCAGCGCGCACAGTGGGATAATTGTTGCAATCGTGGGGGGCGGGGAGATCCCATTGTACTCGGGAACAAATGTTTATTTGCAAATTAATGCCGATGTCGGTGGTCTTCGAAGACAATGACTCATTAGTCGTAAACGGTGGAGAATGCGAAGCTGAACCACCCAGGCGGGTATGGTCGATGCCGCCACCGCCTCTGTAATGTACTACGGTGTCGAATGAAATAGTTGCCAGACTAAATAGTTTCGATTAGAAATTTATTAAAGATCAGCAATTCAATTTAGTATTAAACATTTTATATATGAACAAATTTAGATTTGAAAACTTATTTACCCACATAATACACATTAAAAAAATATTTGTTAATTTTAACCAAATATTAATCAGGATAACTTTATGTTCAGTTTTACAACCAACAATAATTCAACCATAATTAATTTTTCAAAGAGGACCTTATTTTTACAAAGTTTTTTGTAGACCCAGTAACAAAAGTTTTTGTTGAAAATTGGAAACTAAAATAAAAAGGTTTTTGATAAAAAATGTAGCTTTATTAAAAAAAAAAATAACACATACCTACATAAATGAACACAAAAATAACATACACACAATTAAATATCACACCATTCTGAAATCATCAAATTATAAAGAAATGTGGTTCAATATAATTAATTATCAGTACTACTACAACACTTACTGATGTATTTCGTAACTTTAACCCACTTCACTGTATCTCCTAATTTCCGTTTGGAAACCAGTGATGACATGTTTTTTCGGATACTTCGCACTTCACACACTTGTTAAATAGGTATAAGAAATCCGAATTACTACAATACAGTAAGCAGAAACATAAGTTGCAGACGCTGAAGTCAGTTGAACTTGTTGATGCGTATATACGCATCAACAAGTTCAACTGACTTCAATATTGACAGTGGGAAATTTTTTGATTGACAGCCTAAAATCACGTGTACTTTTTCAACAAAATATTTTATTAAACATTAAAAAAAATAATCTGGAACCTTTGAAATTAGCAAAATGCTTACAAAATTACCTTTACAAAACTTTCGGTAAAATATTTTCCTTTGTTAAAATAATTACAAACCCTGGTTTTCTGCTTAAAAAATCTGATTTTTATAACAGTGTATTTATTTTTTTTTTCTTCCACCAGAAATTTTAGGAGGCAATTTAACAGTGTTTTATGGGAAAAATGAAAGTTTTTTCATATTAATATTAATTAATAAAGAATTCTTTAATGTATAAAATGTGGAACACTTGCCATTCGTACAGTAATTACCGTATTTATACGGTATACGGATACATACCTCAATACCGTACGCAAATAAACGGTAAATTAAGGAATTTACAAATTTACATCTTGTTATAACATATATAAGTATATATATATATGTATATATAAACTTGTTTATTTTTTTTACTCCTTTTGAATAATATGGATATTTAAGTTTTTCCGTAAACAGTTGTAGAATATTATTATAGTAAACAAGGGGCGACTATAATCATCAAAATTGGGAGAAAGTGAGGTTAGAACAGTATGACGGATGTAATAATAAATTATTTTATTTTTAAAAATTATTTAATTGGAGTAGAAATAGTATATTGTTTACCGACCGAGAAAGTGAGGTTAGAACAATATGGCGGATGTAATAATAAATTATTTTATTTTTTTAAATTATTTAATTGGAGTAGAAATAGTATATTGTTAACCGAGCGTGGAATAATAGCAATTATTTTTGCATAAATACAGTTTATAAACTGTATATATCTATATATCTATAGATAAATTGCAATCCAGCCACTGCAAAACTCTGTATGAACCCATCAACATTAAACCATTGTAACCATTGTGCGACGAATAGAAAATATGTCTGATTGCAATGAATTATAACTAGGTAAGTATTCATCGTAAAGAATAGTTATAACCTGTGTAAGATCGTATTTTATTTTTGATTTTAATCGAGCATTGAATAGTTGTTTCGTTAATTAACGTTAACTTCGGATTTTAGTGGATAAGAGTATTTTATAAAGATCTGTATAGGTAGTTAGTCGACTACCTATAGAAAGACATTCTTGAACATTTGTAAAATTCGTGAAATGGTGAGACGGGTACAGTGGCCGACACGGAATTTTGAACGACTATCATCCCGTTGACATCAAAATCTAAACTTTCTTTATGGACAACTAACCTTACTTTCGGTTATCACTAGTATTGTAATTTTGACAGCGAAAGCAAAAATGCTTAATATTGTATCTTTGCTATTTACAGATGTATACATTGACAACCAAGTTATGTCGTTCAAAATTCCGTGTCGGCCACTGTACGTTTTATAATTTAAATAATAAACTTTATTGTTTTTAAACTTTATTGTTACCACTCGAGTGATCACTACTAAAGTGATTGATTATGATAATAATTATCGCCTAGGCTGTAAAAATAATTTAGACCATTCGGGTACAGTTCTTTACCCTAGGAGGTCTGTTAAAACCCCGTTTAGACCAATAAAAAAATATATAACTTCTTAGCCTAATGACATAAATATATATGATATAAAAAGTAAATAAAATTTAAAAAAATTGACCTAAACATAATTTATTATCCCGACCAATGTTGTCATATTTATAAAAATCCACTCCTTATAGTTTAAACCTGAACCCTTCACCTGATTATATAAATATTCCTTTATAAGAAAAAACCCTTTTATTTAAAATAGTTAATTATTTTTTTAAAAACTCAAGACTACGTAGGGTACCCTCAAATATATAATAGATAACTTAACGTACATTCCTTAAAAAGCGGCAACAGTGCATGATCCGTTCCCGGCCGGTGCCGACGCCCATCTCAGGCGGCGGCGTTTGACGTCACGCGTTGCGCGCGTCGCCATGACAACGCGACTACGTCACACGGTCGGCCGCTGGAGGCGGGGGCCGAGGAGCGACGGCGGCGGGCGGTTAATGGTCCAGATTTATCCCGACGAAACTGGGGGACCGACATCAAAACCCAACAACCCTTTGTACAATAAGATATAATAAATATGGGATTTCGAAATTTTAATTATTTTTTATTTAAAAAAGTATGTATTTTATAGGTGGCAATCCCATGTAGGTATTATTTTTATTTACATACATTTATTTATAACCTAGAGTCTTTAATCTAAAAAGAATTTATCAGTTTTTAATTATTGTGACCCTTATCAAAACAAGGCTATGAATTCATTAGATTCATAATCTTAAGAAAAAAATCAAGCTAGCTTAAAATTGTGTTTTGTGCAGTGTGCGGTGAGGCGGTCGCCGCCTAGTGTAGGGCGAAAAGGGAGCGGCCCGGTGCACGGCATGGATGTGGGTCAGCCGGGGTAAATATAGGTTTTACTTCGACGCCGCCGCTTTTCTTACGTTTAAACGCGACTGCAAACAATCCAACATTGCACACTAACAAACGCATTGAACGAGATAATTTCGAAAACCACCAAAATAAACGGTTTTGTTTTTGAATTTGGCGCGCGACATGCGCTGTTTTAAAAAATTCGCATGGCGGGCTTTGGACGTCAACAAACAGAATTTATAACCTCAATTGTCAAAAGTTATTTTTCGTTTAAATTAATAAAAAAATTAAGAGTGTCAAATAATTAAATTAAAAATGAATAGTCAACGTTTTAAATCGTTAGACCCAGTGTTATGTGAAGTTTATTCGAATCGCATGTTAAAAAAAGACAAGGAAGCTTCAAGAAAAATTTCACCGGCTTTTTCCAAACAGTCCAGTCTGGGAAATTCGAGTCCAAATTCCACGAATACTTTATCAATGAAAAAGAGCATCAAACAACACAGTAATTCGCCCACGTTGCGACACACACCACAATATGAAGAGTCAGTCGAAATTAAATTGAAGAGCACAAAACCCAGAAAGTCGGAAACTTGGTCCAGCTGTCTTAAAAGTAACAAAACTAGGGATCCCTATGGCTTTAATAATTTTGATCCTCTAAGATTGGTACATTTTCTAACCAAGGAGCTAAAGAGTCACCTGCAAAATCGGTGTCCAGGTTAGACTTGTAAAATGTGTTTTTTTGTTCCATATTTAAGGTTTTTTGGATTTCAGATGACTCATGCACACAAGATATGTTGGGGAAGTTGGAAAACGCGTTAAATAGAGTTCCTCCAGAGGTTGCCTCAGCAATTCATTTACAACAAGCTTTGGAGTTGCTGCCAAAACCGAAAAATCATGGAGATTTTGACGAAAGACCTGTAAGTTATTAAAACAAATTAAATTGGATTTATAGCATACAGTTAAATTTATCTTGCCTGATGTGTATTTTTTTATTATGGATACATGTGTATAAAAAGTAAATACCTTTTTATAATGCTAGGGTTGCTAGATCCCCGGGTATGAATTTTAACTATTTATAAATAAATTTTTGCAAATTGATTTGTTTGAAAACACAACACATAAACCAAACACCTATCAATTTACTGTGCAATTCTTCTTGGACGCGTTTAACATTTACGCAGCATGTCTGGTAAACAGCGTTGCTGAGTGGTTTTATTGTGTAGTATTTATTTAGCTATTTGTTTTGTTAACATGTACATTATTTATATTTATAAAAATCTATCTTTTTCGAGATTGTTTTTAGACTCTAAACAAATAATTTAGATGATACCCAAATAAAAAAGGGGAACAAAGTCAACTTATGAAGAAAAAAAATATTTTTTTTATTTACTTCAAACTTTAACCTCCAATATGATTTAAATGGATGGTTTTACGAAAAAAACGTAAAAGACCTTTTTTGTAAATCGTAAAATTTCCTATAAAAATATATACAGTATGTCCACGGATAGAGGGCCCAAGAGGACAAATGGACTAAAATTTTCATTTTTCGACCAAAAGTCATTCTTTATAAAAAGTTCTGCTTGTGTTGAAAAGTCTATTGTCATACTTTAAATTTGAAAATATTATACAGGGGGGTCGAAAAACAAGAAAACATGAAATACTATCAGGAGTAAACTACCTTTATTTTTCGTTTTGGAGCAAAATGACAAATAAAAAAGGATTTCAAATCATATCCAAAGACTATTTGTAAAATTTAAACTCAGTATTCCAAATTTTATTTTTTACTTTTAAAGTTCTAAAATTAAATTTTTATGGACTAAAATTTTCATTTTTCGACCAAAAGTCATTCTTTATAAAAAGTTCTGCTTGTGTTGAAAAGTCTATTGTCATACTTTAAATTTGAAAATATTATACAGGGGGGTCGAAAAACAAGAAAACATGAAATACTATCAAGAGTAAACTACCTTTATTTTTCATTTTGGAGCAAAATGATAAATAAAAAAAGATTTTAAATCCTATCCAAAGACTATTTGTAAAATTTTAACTCAGTATTTCAAATTTAATTTTTTACTTTTAAAGTTCTAAAATTAAATTTTTATACTTGTGTACCTTAATTTCACGTATTCTTTACCTATGCATGACAAAAAACTGACACAGTCTTAGATATTAATTTTCAAATTTCTTATTCTAAATATGTCAAGATACAATATCCGTATTGTGAAGTTAGGCAAATATTTTATTAAAAAAAGTTGTTCATAATGTCAGGAAAAAAAAACTTTATAACAAATTGAGCATATAAAATTATCCTATTTATTCAAAAACCCCTCCACCGTATTCGACGCATTTCTCAAACTGCCGTCTAATGTGATCATAACTTCTTCTTATCTCTTCAAGTGAAATCATTTGAACTGACTCTGAAATCCTTTGTTTTAGAATATCGATATTATTTTCAATCGGTTGGTGATACGTTAATTGCTTCAAACGACCCCAAAGAAACGCATCAGCAATTGTGAGGTCCGGACTCCTCGCAGGCCACACAATTGGTCCATTTCGGCCAATCCATCGATCTCTAAATTTATTGTTTAGCCATTCCGTGACTTCGCGAGCATAATGTGCAGGGCAGCCGTCTTGTTGAAAGTACATTTGTCCACGGTAGTGTAATGACAGCTCATCCAGCTTGTCCGAAAGAAAAGTTTCCAACATTTCCATGTATGAATTCCTATTGCATGTATCCTCAAAAAAATATGGTCCCATTATCCCATAATATGTAATGCCACACCAAACGTTAACTTTTTTAAGATATTGCCGACGTGCAGGAATTCTGAATTCTGGATTTTCAGTGCTCCAGTATCGTACGTGTTGGGAAGCTACCGTACCATTTGTGGAAAAAGTGGATTCGTCGGAGAATAAAATAAGTTTGTGAAACTGATTATTTTCATTTAAAATTTTGTCCCCTATCCACAAACAAAAATCTAATCGTTTTGCTTGATCTCCATCTTCTAGAGCTTGATTAAAATGTGGTTTATATGGAAAAAAATTGTTGGCTTTTAATATTTTTTGGATTTGACTTTTTTGGACCAACTGTAAATTTTGAGCTCGTTTTCGTAACGACAGAATAGGGTTTTCCACAACAGACTGCAAGACGACAACTGTAGCCGCATCATCCTCGTCAAAAAGTTTCTTCTTCTTTTTTAAATTATCCACCGACCCAGTGTTCTTGAATTTTTTAACCAGTTGACGAATTCCATGTATTGAAACTGAAACCCCTGGAAATTTTTCAACAAATCGTTCTTGTACATATCTGTATGAACGGTCGCCAGTTCCATAACACTGCACCAAAAATATTTTTTGTTCAATAGTTAGCATTTTGAAAATATTTTATAAAACGAAATTTATAATCTAAGACTGTCACTGTGGCATTTTTTGTCATACATAAGTAGGCTTTCCAACTTCTGTCAAAAAAATCCCGAGGGGTAAACCACTCTAAAATCAGCGAGACCATGGACGTTGCAACGTTCAACATTATGTGGACGTTACGCTATGATTTCTCCTTATTCGACCATTATCAATCGTTATCAATACGGAAAAATCCTTATGAATAAGAAATTTCTCTTAGCGACGCGTTGCTATGACTTCCCTAACGTAAATTTAACAATTTGCATTGTAGCATTGTTTATTTTTGTAATTAATGTAAATTTTCACAAAATAACCAGGTAAAGGAAACGTAAAATGGGGTACAAAAGTATAAATTAGAAATTAAATTTTAAGAAAAATAAAATTAGGAATACTGAGTTGAAACTTTACAATTGGTCTTTGAATATGATTTGAAATCCTTTTTTATTTGTCATTTTGCTCCAAAACGAAAAATAAAGGTAGTTTACTCTTGATAGTATTTCATGTTTTCTTGTTTTTCGACCCCCCTGTATAATATTTTCAAATTTAAAGTATGACAATAGACTTTTCAACACAAGCAGAACTTTTTATAAAGAATGACTTTTGGTCGAAAAATGAAAATTTTAGTCCATTTGTCCTCTTGGGCCCTCTATCCGTGGACATACTGTATAATATATTGTTGCATGTCATTAAAATGTCATTTGCGCAGGGTTAAGCGACATCGGATTTTTTTTCAAAAATGATTTTAAACTAAACAAATAATTTAGATGATACCCCAGTAAAAAAGACAAATTGGGAAATAACTTTCAGCCATTAAATAGAGTTTATGCAAGTTTTTAATCAGGGTCTAATAAGTATCAAACCCAGCAAAGTCCATTTGAGTAACGTTTTCAAATATGGGGCAAAACATGCCAAGTGTTCCCACTAAAAACTTAAGTTGTTTCCGATTTTGATGAAACTTTGCTAAATCATTGTCCTATCGGACTACTTTAATTAAGCAAATGGGGAGCAGACATTTTTCTTTTTCTTTTGTGAGAGTTTTTTGGTTGATAAAAAAAATATAAATGACTTTTTTGGCCGGAAGGAATGGTGTTTTTGTGATCCTGGAACTTCTTTTGCAGCACTAAATCGCTGTTTTAAAAATTCAGCTGCTCTAATATGCTAAATTCTACAATTTAAGTATACTTAAAAAAAATACCGTTTGTTTCCGAATATTCTGTTTTTCCTAAAAAAGTAAAATAGTTTATGTTTAAATGTTTTAAGTTATAACTAAATTGTTTAAAGTTATTAATACATTTTAAAATTTTAATTATTAAATTATGGTATTATTTAGCGTAGGACATGCAAATATTCAAAATGGAATAGGTTATTTATTAGGTGTACAATTTACCAGTCGATACCCGATCCCTGTGCATTTTAACGCTGTTATTTTCGAACTGGTTTCGAGATCCCATTTATATACATATATTAATATACATATATATTGAAATATACTTATTTTTTTAAAATCAAAATCAAAAAGTAACAATATTTTTTACATCAATTTTTTATGGCTAAAAATTTTGTTTCGCTTTTGAAACCACCTCTATCTTAAAGCACGAAAAAAGATATAGGACATATTATTTGTCGATTTAAAAAAAAGTCGTATATTTTTTTTATCAACCAAAAAACTCACAAAAGAAAAAGAAAAATCAAGCCCCTGTATATCTGCAACCCTTCAGTCTTTTCCGCTGCCCTTTTGCTTAATTAAAGTAGTCCGATAGCACAATGATTTAGCAAAGTTTCATCAAAATCGGAAACAACTTAAGTTTTTAGTGGGAACACTTGGCGTGTTTTGCCCCGTATTAAAACATACGCTATTAAAGTATATTCTTAAAAAAAGATGTATTATCAAAATGGTCCACACCCGTGATTTTGATACAAGTAATTAAGGATATATTTGTGTCAAGCTAATTTCGTCTTATTTTCTGAAAATAATACAATATATAAATTTTTTGTGTATAAATGTATTAATTTAGAACACAAAAAATACATAATATGTATATTAGTGTATTATATTAAAATACTGAATACCCTTTGACATAAGGTGAAAAGGAAAAATAAAAGATATGCATTAGAAGTTTTTTATATTTTTTGTGATACGCCACTGGTTACCTACACACTTGTTTTCTGTGAGTACATAGATACCAACCAAGAAAGTAGCTGCGCGTTGCCAGTTGTAAAAAATTATTACTAAAATTTTTCTTGCAAAATATAAATAATATCTCAATAAATACAAAAGTTTTATACCCTTAAAGCTCTAATACCCTTCTGTATTTATTTACTCATACAGCTTAGCTGGACCAGCTATTAGCTTAAGCAATGATTAGAAAATTTAGTAGGTACCTATTTTAAAAACTCCATAACCAAAAAATTAGTTTTTTTCAACGGTGTTTTTCTTTTTGTTTACTCAGATGAAATTAGGAAAAATTCACAGATTAAACTTTAAACATTCAATTTGTGTAAATAAATCCAAAAGCACTTCCCTTGGTTGAGATATTTACAATTTGAGCACATAACCTAAAAATTGAAAGAAATGCACTAGATTGTGTCATAAAAGTTGCCAGATTTTGTTTGAATTTACCTTTATTACAAAAATGACATAATAAACAATTAATAAAATCGTTGATTTTGTCATTTTTGTAACTAAGCTAAATTTAAACAAAATTTGGCAACTTTTTAGACAGAATTTGGTTGTTACCAACCATAACATAATAAATTAAATTAGGCAACCAGATAAGCCTAAAGTTCCTAGTCGATCATTGGCGTACTTTTTGGTGGGATAAATGTAATTATAAATTATTTTTAATATTTAGAATTTAGAAAAAAAAAGTTTTAGGTGCTTCTTTATGGACCCTAAGGAACTACCCATTTTAATATAACTTACATTAATTACACCCTGTATTGTATTATTTTCCAATACATTTTTTGCTGTTTTATATTTTTTGTCCATCAATTTTAATGGGTTTTACAATAAAAAATATATGCTGCTGAATTTTGAGTTTTGCAAAACTGCTTAGTGTATCCAAAAGTGGTGTACCTATATATTTTCTTTTACTTGTGAATCAACCTGTAGATTAGGACTAAAGTATTATTAATTCTTTTATAGGAAAAATTAGTAGACCATAAAGTAACAGAAACCAAATCCAAATCTATTCAAACCATTGATAACATCAAAGAAGAGAATGAAATGTTGCAAAAATTAATGTCGGAAAATACAGAAAAACTGGAGGCCAAGGTAAAAATGTTGGAAGAAATTACAGGGAAACTAAAGTTGGAGAATGAACAAAGGAAAAATAAATTGGCCATTGAGAAAGATAATGTGCAATATTATAAGGGACGCTTGGAGGAGCTGCAAAAAACTCATGTAAGGATTTCACTTTAAAATTAATTTAAAGCATGTTTTATTTTTTACGTTTTAGACTGAAACAGTTAATGTAAGAATCTACAAAATGGAAGAAGAAAAATCCCTTTTAGAAGCTCAAATAGCTGAACTGAAAATACAATTAACAGCTTTAAATAAACCTAAGGAAGATCTTAAATTTACGGTGAAGGAAATGAAAAAATGCAAAATCGATTCAGACAACGAAATACTCAAGTTAAAACACCAACTGAAATTAAGCGAAATCGAAAAAGAAAAATACATGGCCGTTTTGGCTGTTCGCGATAGACAAATAAACGAGATTAGAAACGAAATGTCCCAACTCCAAGAAGTGGTTAATGACCAATTAATGGAATTGCATAACAGCGCATTTTCCAATGAACCATCAAATGACAGTGAGGATAGTAAGTAAATTAAATTTAAATTATATAAAAATATTTTTTTTTAATTAGATTTCTATTAAAATAAAAGATTTTAACAAAAATAACCTCATTAATTTATAACTTATAAATTATAAGTATCTTTGTAAAAGTTCCATAGAACCTATTTAGTGTTTAAAATCAGGTTAGATATTTTAAATTGTTATCTTAAACAGTCATACTGTCTGAATGTTGGTTTCCCAATTCGTGTATTGGACACATAATTTTTTTTGTAATAATGAAATAAAATTTAATGCAGTGGCGGCTGGTGGATTTTGGGTATACCAATATTTCAGTTATTAGACATGGGACCCACACCAAATTTATAATAGTTTATTATGACATTAAATAGACAAGTTCGGCGCAAACAGAATTTAAATTGAAGTTTGCGAAAAAAGTTAGTTTTTCCTCTCGCCTCACCCGCCTCCAGGCCCCCCTATTTAAGATAATTCAAATTAAAGTGGTGTAATTTATTATCTATTATAATTTATCGACAAATTTAAAATTTTATTTAAAAAATCCAAATATTACAGGTTTTATACCATTTTAAATATTTTTTTATTTTAATTTAAAATCGAATAAAATCTGTAATATTTGGATTTTTTAAATAAAATTTGAAATTTGTCGATAAATTATAATAGATAATAAATTGCACCACTTTAATTTGAATGATCTCAAATGGGGGGCCTGGAGGCGGGTGAGGCGACAGAAAAAACTAACTTTTTTTCGCAAACTTCAATTTAAATATTTTTTTATTTTAATTTAAAATCGAATAAAACCTGTAATATTTGGATTTTTTAAATAAAATTTGAAATTTGTCGATAAATTATAGTAGATAATAAATTGCACCACTTTAATTTGAATCATCTCAAATAGGGGGGCCTGGAGGCGAGTGAGGCGACAGAAAAAACTAACTTTTTTTCGCAAACTTCAATTTAAATTCTGTTTGCGCCGAACTTGTTTATTTAATGGCATTATAAACTATTATAAATTTGGTGTGGGTCCCATGTCTAATAACTGAGATATTGGTATACATAAAATCCACCAGCCGCCACTGATTTAATGGGAGTATAAGGAAACTAATTTAAGACCTGGCAACGCCAGGAGACAGTGAGACTATTTTCGAACATTTGTTAATTATTATAACATATAAAATATGTTAAGGTTATCAATTTAGACCTTTTAATTATGTTTAATTTACATATTAAAAAATGTTATCTACAAAAATAGTTATTTGAAATTTACAGGATATATATTTGTAATATTTTCTTGTGGGAAATAAACAAAAAATTTATTTAAAGATTTTATTTAAACAAAACAAAAATAATGATGTTAACGCTTTAGTAAGCGTATTGGTGCATGGCTGGGTAGCGTTGCATCATTATTTGCCAATATCCTTGGTAGAATGGAGTTTGGTGTTGGTATTGTTGGTTCCACATGTGTGGGTATTGTTGTTGGTATTGGTATGGTCCCATGAATTTGTTGAGTCCGTAGACGGTTGGGTGTTGTTCGTGTTTTTGGTTCCACATGCCTTGTCCATAGGTGTTGAATTCGTGGGTGAAGTAATCACGGGGCATACCGTGGTAGAGGAAGCCAGTTGGGTATTGGTATTGGTTTAATTCGATTTCCTTGAGGGTCTTCTTGATTTCGAATGGAGTTTCTGGGGTCATCAGGAGTCCGTTGATTCCTTCGCGGGTCAATGGGAGTACGAAAGCATGACGTTCGTTCAAGAAGTGTTCGAGGATGGTTTCGACGTAGTAAAGTTTCATTGGCATACCGTGGGCGTGCAAAAGTTCCAAAAGTTGGCAGATTTGTTTGTGCATGACGATGTTTTTGTCGTGGGTCATGTCCAAAACCAATTTGACGCATGGTACAACGATTTCTTGTTGTTGAACTCCAAAGGATTGGAAGAAGTTGACAAGTTTTTCAACTTTCTTGTAAACTGGTGAGATGGATTTTTGAATAATATAAAGGTTATCAAAGAAAGCGATGAGTCTTTTTTGGTCATGGCTTGCTTTACCCAATTTTTCAATTCTGTCGAAGAGACGAGCCAAGTTTTGGATTGGGTATACAGCGTCCTTGTGGATGTGGCAAACGTATCTCAAAGAGCACATGACGACTTCATTGCTCAAAAGGCCGAAACGGGCTTGAAGCATATGCAAAAGTTCTTGGAAATATTGGACTGGCAAGTTGTTACCTTTGACAACCATGAAATGGACAAAGTAGGTGGCGTATTCGACGTCCCATTTCATGCCGTATTGTTCGCAGATTTGGAAGAATTGTTCGAGTTGGTGAAGTGGGTAGAAGTCTTGTCCACGGAATACGGTAATTATGCAGTGAGCGATGACTGGGACGGTTTCTCCGGTGAACACGACACCGTGGTGTTTCAATACCTTGAAGATGCTTGCGATTTTTTGGTCAGGAGACAGCATGGTGTGTTGGACTGCCATGACTTCTTCTACCATGTTGGTGACATGTTCTTCTCCGTAGATGATGCCGGCAACTTGGAGTTGACGGAATACTTGTTCGCATTGGCCTGGCCAGGATTCCTGGGTAAAGTGTTCATGGTTTACGTACATGTCTCTGTCCATGTTCATGTCCATTCCCATGAATTCATTGTGGAGGTCCTTGTGGAGCATGTTGTATCCGGTTGGGACAATCATGTTCCTGTTGTAGCCAAGAGAGTAGCCATGGCTTAAAGCCACCAAAGCGAGGAGACCCAAGAAGCACTTCATTGTAGTTGTCTTAGTTGAAACACGAGAGACCAAGTGTGTGACTTACCAAAGATACTTTTGGTTTTTATATACATTTTTATCGTAATATTTTGTCCGGTATTTGCAATTAAGCTTGACAACAAATTTAAGACTCCAATCAAAAATATCGGTCTTTAAAATTAAACAATTAAAAACAATCTCGTAAACATAGTTTCGTAATTTAAACTAATTTAATTTAATTTTAACATAAAATTTTAATAAATAATAAATTTTCAAAGAATGTCAAGTGGTAATCCTTTTTTTAAATAATTGGTTTATAATACAAATTTTGGAATATATTATTAAGCACTTATTTTTTAATAAATATAATTTATTATAAAAAAATTAGCAATCAATGCAACTGCAATAATTTTAAATTATCACTCTAAAGTTAATGCAATTTTAACGATTTGAACTTTGATTTGAAATTAATATTAATTTTTTATCTGACGACTTTAAAATGTAAAAATGGCTTAATAATATTAAGTTAATATCCAGCAATTTTACAAATAAAAATAAATAATTAGATTAAATTGTAATTTTTAATTTAACTATTAGACCAGTGCAGAAGCCTTTAAAAATGGTAAAAAGAGAAAAAAAATAACAGTAGGATGAAACCCATTGGAAAAGGAGGGGAATATAATAAAAATTAAAGGAAAAATAAATTACGGGCGATCTGAGTTCGGGAAGTGGGAGGGGGGGTTTAAGGGTAAAAAATGGTTTATCTCGATTTCCGGCAAAACTACAAGTCCTATGGAAAAAAGTTAAATGTCAAAGTTGTAGGTAATAAAAAGATCTACAACTTTTGTATTAACAATTTTTACACATAACCTCAAAATTTATGTGAAAAATTCAAAAAACCAAGTTTTTGGTTTTTTATTTTTATCTTTTTCAAAAAAAAAATTTTTTCCACGAAATTTGGTGAAAACTTACCTTTTTATGTCCCAAATACACTGTAATTTATTTGAGTTGAAATGTTTATTATTTCGCCTTATTTTGACTTAATATCAAAAAAGCACCCTAATTTTCAATCGAAAATTCTCGCGTCAGCTTTTTTCAAAAAGTTGGTGTGCTTTTTGTTCGATGAACTCTCTACTTTCTGATGGTGTAAAAAAAAATATACATTACTATGGTAAATGTTCTCAGAAAATACAAAAAATATTATAATGAATAACGTAATCAGAATGAAGTATCTAAATTCAATAGTATGATTTACATGTATTTTTATATTTTATGAGATTTTCTGACATAAATGTTATTAGAATTTAATAAATAAACTTTTTAACTGAAAAAAATTGTAACAATCACATTTTTTTGATGAAATTGTACATAATGATTAAAATAAATTTTCGAATTCGAGTTTTTTTCGTTATTCATTATATTTTTTGCATTTTCTGAGAACATTTACCATAGTACCTAATGTATATTTTTTTTACACCATCAGAAAGTAGAGATTTCAACTAACAAAAAGCACACCGACTTTTTGAAAAAAGCTGATATTTTGACGCGAGAATTTTCGATTGAAAATTAGGGTGCTTTTTTGATATAAAGTCAAAATAAGTCAAAATATTTCAAATCAAATAAATTACAGTGTATTTGGGACATAAAAAGGTAAGTTTTCAGCAAATTTCGTGGAAAAAAAAATTTTTTTTTAAAAGATAAAAATAAAAAACCAAAAACTTGTTTTTTTGAATTTTTCACATAAATTTTGAGGTTATGTAAAAAAATTGTAATTACAAAAGTTGTAGATCCTTTTATTACCTACAACTTTGCCATTTAACTTTTTTCCGTAGGACTTATAGTTTTGCAGGAAATCGAGATAAACCATTTTTTACCCTTAAACCCCCCCCCTCCCATTTCCCGAAGTCAGATCGCCCGTAATTTATTTTTCCTTTCATTTTTATTATATTCTTCTCCTTTTCCAATGGGTTTCATCCTACTGTTATTTTTTTTGGTTTCAAAAATTATCGACCCTGGTCTATATTGATGATTTTTAAATACAGCTTAATTAAATTAAAATAAAAAATAGCTAAACCAATTCTATTCTCCTATATCGTGCAAAATACAAATACAAAATTTAACATTATCTTTAATTTTACAGAACCCAACCATTTTTTATTAGAAAAATATTCCATGAAATAGTTTTTTTATACCAACAATTTTCCGTTAAAGTTAAGTTATTGTCATATAAAGACGATTCATTTTTTCGGGATTATTGTTAATTGTCTAAATAAAAAATGGCATAATAAAAAAATATTATAAAAACCGGAATAGTCAGACTTTGGCTCTTGTATTTCAACTAAGACTGCAATAAAGGGCTTCGTTGCTCTTATCACTTTGGTAACTTTAAGCTTTAAGCCACAACATGCTCCATAAGGACTTCCAAAATGAATTCATGGGCATGGACATGGAAAGAGACATGAACGTAAAGCAAGACTACATCGCCCAAAAATCAGGGCCAAGACAAAGCGAGCAAGTATTTCGTCAACTCCAAGTTTTCGGCATTATCCAATGAGAACAAAGTACTACCATGGTAAAATAAGAACAACACACCATTTTGTCTTCAGACTAAAAAATTGCATACTTCTTCAAGGTATTGAAAGACCACAGTGTCATGTTTACCAGAAAAAGTCCAATATTTTTCAAAAAGCCATGTCACCAACTCACAAGATAATGAAAAAACTTGTTAACTTCTTTAAAACCTTTTGGGTATAACAACAAGAAATCGTTGTACCTACCATGCATCAAATTGGTTTTGGATACCCGCGAAACCCCCCTTCAAAATCAAAAAGACCCTCAAGGAACTGGCTTCCTTTACCACGGTATGCCTCGTTATTACTTCACCCATGAATTGGACAAGGCATGTGAAAGCAAAAATACGAACAATACCAAACCGTCCACAGCCCAAATACGCTTATCAAAGCATTAATATCGACAAATTAGGCATATTGTGTTTTAGTTAAATAAAATCTTTTAATCCATTTTTTTGTGTTTATTGTACCTACGAAATAATATTTATTTTTTATTTTAAGGCGATTTCGCGGAAAGCAAAGAAGGTGATGGTACTTTATCTTCTTTTGCAACAAATGATTTAAAAGATTCAGAAAATGTATTTAAAGACTTGGAAATTGCTGAGATTTCAACTTTATGCCAAAATTTATCTGATCCCTCAATGTTATTACAGAAAAGTTTACCAAAAAAATCAAAAGTAAGTCTTTTTACGTAAAAACAAAATTAAATTATTTTTTTTATCGTAGGATGATATTTTTGATAAGAAAACCCACTCGCAATCCAGCATAAAGAACGTTTTAAATGAATTAAAAAGACAGGCTCTCGCCGTGAAAAAGAGCTAACATGTATAAGCATAAAGAGTAAAAAGTTAAATATTTCTTTGTAAAAATGTAAGTACACTCGAAATTAATAGCTGCACTGTAAAATATCCTGCAGCAATATTTAATGGCTATTATTTATTTATTTTTTGTATTTTGTTAACAAGGGAAATAATTCTTATGACTGAAGTATATTAAGTTTGTGTGAAATTTTAGCTTCCAAATAAATTATATATGTATATATTTTTATTTTAAATGTTGTGTTTTATTGACTTACCAAATACTTAGACACAATTACATACCTGAAAACAAAAATTTTTATTAGATACTAATATAAATTTAAAGTTAATAGTAATAATAAAAGAGAGTAAAAAATGGAAAGGTTGTCCAAAAACATTTTAGTACCTACGTAGAGGTAATTTTATGTAAAAAAAAACAAGTCAACCTTTTTAAAATTGGCATAAATTTAGGAAAAGATTGAGCAAGTTAAATTAAGATGAAAACCTAAATAAATATTTTTCCTAAGATACAGGGTGATAAGTGTTACTTAAATGAGTTGTTTTAATATAACTTCTACTATGGTAGACTTGGAAAGGTGATATTTTAAGAACATTCACTAACAACACTTTAAGCTTATACCCATACAAACTTTTACGTTAGGTTTTAAAAACATTTGATGCAATTTTTAAATAAACTGTTTCCGAGATATTCGAGATTACAATAATTGTTATATTGCATTAAAGGATGAAAAGGTATATAATAACAAATTTTACTTTTTAATTAAAACTAAAAAGGGCGTTTCATGAGCCTCGGGAATTTTTGCCCCGACCGTCACATTTGAAAAATGTGAATAAAACCAATGTAATTAAATTTATTTGTAAATATAATTGTCTATTGTGCTTATAACAATAATATTGTAAAATAAATGTATAATAATTTTAATTGCGGTGGTGTTTACTTTAAAATACCGTGTTATGGCCTAGGCCGATAAAAAATTTTATGAGGCAAGTAATTAGTTCGATTTTTTCTCGCTAGGGGTATTGTTTTGACAAATTAATCCTTTTCTAAGAAATTAACGTACTAAACTGGTTTAATTTATTTATAATAAGCACTAATTTGTTTGTTTTATTGTTAATGTTTAATATTTTTCATTAAATTATTGTAAAATTAAATATGAATAATAAAACAAAAAGTGAGGTTAGGCAACCAAGAAAACGCACGATTCTTTTTCTACGATTTAAATTATCTTTAAGTTTTAATTTGCTTTAAGTTTTCAGTGAAATTAAATGTTAAACACAGCTTAAACATTCCAAACTACCTATTTTTTAAATAAAAATACAAACAAATTGAAATTAGATACTTACCTATTTATTAAACAATTAACTGAATTCAATGTAATAGCAAAAATCCATTTCTACTTAAATCATGTTGCTAGGTATTGTCAAACTAAAAGCAATAATAATTATTGTACATTTAATGTAATCTTTAGCTAATAAATAAATAAGATTCTAAAAAAGTGAGGTTAGGCCGCTTTGATGTTGAATTTTATTGACCTATATAAAGTGCTTTGAAGATAAAATGTTGTATGCCATTCGGCCAAGAAGTGCCTTTTTGTGCTTCGCTCAATTGTAGGCCTCCGCTACGCTTCGGCCTTCAAACCTTGAGCTTAGCACAAAAAGCCTTACTTCTTAACCTAATGACATAAATAACTATTATTGTCATATGACCGTGTATCGAAACAATTGTATAATTTTATGGGCCGTCAAATTTGATGGCCCACCATTTTTTTTAGCCTCTAGCAACAGTGACTTTTTTGAAATAAAACTGTTTTAGCAAATTTAAGTAGTTTCATTGGTTGATTATATATTAAGTGTGCATTGACTTTATCAATTTATGTTTCCATAGAACTTTCAAAAGTATTTTACGATTTTTATACTTTTTGCTGTTTTTCTTAATTTAAGGTATGTTTTTGTGTTTAAATTTGATTTTATAGAGTATTTTATTGAATTTAAAAGCATTTTTAATTTCTAAATACTTAATTTTAACAGTTTTCTTTTAAAATTTTTACTATTAAGTACCTATTTAATTACCATTTCCTGTTAATTATAATTTTTTACACTGTTTTACAAGGAAAAATAGAAACTTTATTTTAAATTTTTAGGATGATTTTGGTGCGCTAAACACAAAAAACTTAATCATTTTTTTCTTATTTGGGCCATTCACCTATATGACGGTATATTTTTGTTTTTTAATTTAAGATTTTACTTAAATCAGCATCGTGAGGGTATGGCAAATCCGATATATGCCAAATCCGATATATGCCAAATCCGATATATGGTTTTAAAGGTGGTTAAATTTCGCATCCAACGGTAAATCATCGTTTTAATCGAATCAAAAATAGCTGAGTTACAGCTCATAAAAGTTCAAATTTCTTGCAAAATGGCTCCAAATCGATCCATGCAAAATATAAAAATATAACAATATGTCAGTTTTAAAAGCCAATATTTTCTTAACCATTTGAGATAAAAAAAATGTTTTAAATCATTTTTGTCCTTTTTTATGGTTATTTTAAGAGATTATATAATTTTTTTTAATAGGACCCCTAATTACGAAATTATGCGATAGGTATCGGATTAATGACGTCAAAAAAAAAATGACACATTCTTAAACAAAACACCCGATAATACACTACTACCTTGTGTATAAAAAACTGATTTCAGATAGTTTTAACTTCACAAAAAATCCCACGGGATGCACTATGCTCCAAAACTAATACCTTTTAATCCTTTAATGCGATATAACAATAATTATTATTGTAACCTTGAATATCTCGGAAACGGTTTATTTTATCGAAGTTGAAAAGGTACACCTTTTTAATAGTAACCGAACTGAGTAATCGAAAAATTGCATCAAAAGTTTGTATGGGACAATAAGCTTAAAGCTTAAACGGGGGTTCTTTCTACGACACTGTGTTCACTCAAACAATTGTAATTGTGTGTAAATATGTGTATTGGTAGTGAGTGGATGTTCTTAAAATATCACCTTTCCAAGTATACCATAGTAGAAGTTATATTAAAAAAACTGATATGAAACTTTACTTTATCACCCTGTATCTTGGAAACATAAGTAATTAGGAAAAATATTTATTTAGGTTTTTGTCTTATTTTGACTTGCTCAATCTTTTCCTAAATTTATGTTTAGGGACACATTGTTTTTAATTATTTGTATCCAAGGACTGATAAGTTCAAATCATTTTATTAATATTATAACATTTTTATTCGCAATTGTCCAATTAAAATAAAAAGAAACTAATTAATCCAAAATGCAATAAATTAATTAATTTATTGCATTTTGGTTAAAAAAATTATTTAAAAAGCGAATATTTAGACTTGGTTTCTTATGTTTTGAGTTAAAACTTTTAACTAAGACCTATATAATGAATTGCTTCAGTAGCTTTAAGCCATGGCTACTCTCTTGGTTTTCAGCATAAATTCATGGGCAAGGAGATAAATATGTACTTTACTTACGAATCTTGGGTTTTTGCTAACAGCCCTTTATTTTTTGTTCTATAAGCGGATTATGTCAGTGTTCAGATTATACATTGTTTTTAAATATTTAAATCCAAGGACTGATAAGTTCAAATGATGTGTTATTAAAATATTGCGGTAATAAGTATTATAAAAAAAATTAATTGCAATTATCTAAATAAATAAACAATCTAATTATTCAAAACCGCATTAAAGTCACCTTCATATTCGGATAAAGAAATTGTATAAAAAGCAAGTGCATCATTGAAATATTCAGACTTGGTCTCTTGTTTTAACTAAGACAACTACAATGAAGTGCTTCGTTGCTTTCCTCGCTTTGGTGGCTTTAAGCCATGGCTACTCTTTTGGCTACAACAGGAACATGATGATCCCAACCGGATACAACATGCTCCGCAAGGACTTCCAACATGAACTCATGGGCATGGACATGAACATGGACAAAGACATGTACGTGAACCAAGAATACTTCACCCACGAATCCTGGCCAAAGCATTGCGAACAAGTGTTCCATCAACTCCAGGTTGCAGGCGTCATCTCCAAAGAAGACCAAATCACCAAAATGGTTGAAGAAGTCATGGTAGTCCAACACACCTTGTTGTCTCCTGAGCAAAACATCGAAAGCATCTTCAAGGTATTGAAACACCACGGTGTCATGTTCACCAGTGAAACCGTTCCAGTCATCGCTCGCTGCATAATTACCGTATTCCGTGGACAAGACTTCTACCCAATTCACCAACTCGAACAATTCTTCCAAATCTGCGAACAATACGGCATGAAATGGGACGTCGAATACGCCACCTACTTTGTTCATTTCATGGTTGTCAAAGGTAACAACTTGCCAGTCCAATTTTTCCAAGAACTTTTGCATATGCTTCAAGCCCGTTTCGGCCTTTTGAGCAATGAAGTCGTTATTTGCTCTTTGAGATACGTTTGCCGCATCCACAAAGACGCTGTATACCCAATCCAAAACTTGGCCCGTCTCTTCGACAGAATTGAAAAATTGGGTAAAGCAGACCATGACCAAAATAGACTTATCGCTTTCTTTGATCACCTTCATATTATTCAAAAATCCGTATCACCAGTTTACAAGAAAGTGGAAAAACTTGTTAACTTCTTCCAAACCTTTGGAGTTCAACAACAAGAAATCGTTGTACCATGCGTCAAATTGGTTTTGGACATGACCCACGACAAAAACATGATCTTGCACAAACAAATCTGCCAACTTTTGGAACTTTTGCACGCCCACGGTATGCCAATGAAACTTTACTACGTCGAAACCATCCTCGAACACTTCTTGAACGAACGTCATGCTTTCGTACTACCATTGACCCGCGAAGGAATCAACGGACTCCTGATGACCCCAGAAACTCCATTCGAAATCAAGAAGACCCTCAAGGAAATCGAATTAAACCAATACCAATACCCAACTGGCTTCCTCTACCACGGTATGCCCCGTGATTACTTCACCCATGAATTCAACACCTATGGACATGGCATGTGGAACCAAATGCACGAACAATACCCAACCGTCTACGGACTCAACAAATTCATGGGACCATACCAATACCAACAACAATACCCCCAAATGTGGAACCAACAATACCAACACCAAACCCCATTTTGGCAAAGAATGATGATGCAACATTACCCAGTCATGCACCAATACTAAACACTGAGCGTTGACATGAACAAATAAGTATGCATATTATGTTTATTGTTTCTGTTTTTATTGAA